ATTTTAATTAATTATTGCCACATTTAATTAATTATTTAATGGTGTATTTAATTAATTCATTATGGCTGTCCTGGCGTTCCATACTCGTTAGCTCAGAGGCACTCAGGTTTTCAGTTCGTGCGCACAACGTGAACTAATTTGAATAATTGACGAGGAAACCCACGTGACCTAAGATTTTGGGAAAATGTGGAATAGGCCGGATAGGCCTACGAAAGGTTGCCCAAAACAGACTTGCAAATTTTTGAAAAGCCCCGTTACTGACAAAGACGTGTATATTTATATGTTTTTTTAATTTAAATAATTTATTTTCAAAGAAAAACTCTGCTAATGTGCATTATTGATGGGGAGGACACACATTTTGGCAGACGCTGCCACACAGCCTGATAAAATCTGTACCCCTCTATAACCTTTGCTGGTAGGAAGAAATCCTCTCCAAAGTTACTGGGGTTATTGGTTATACTCTGATTTATTTTGAAAATAAACTCCTTCGTGATAGCACCGCTAATGTGCATTACAGGAGTGTAAACCATAGTATCAACGTCTTTGTCTGGACAAACTATTCCCAGCAGGTTATTTCAATAGTCTTCCGCACGGCACATTACAATGTCACGAAGTTAGTATTAAAATCCATTCACGAATCGAGTCTGTTGTTTTCCAGGTTTACGCTTTATTGTGCGGATTGCAGATCAGTGACAAGTAGCGTACAGAAACGAAGCTGGGCAAGTGGCTCCTCCTCCTTTGCGCGCTCTCGTAGATTGGGAAACGGTTTTTGCCGGGGGTAACTACTTTTGGCAGGACACCTAAAACACAGGTGGCATGCAGAAGTTGTTCCTCTCTGATGAAATATCCACATAGCATTGCGCTCCCGCTGCACTTACCGTGAGCCACCATGTCTCTGAGGCTGTCTTCTGCAAAAAGCCCGCTTTCCAGATGTTTCAAATCTCTGCACAGCTGTTCCGCACGAGCGTTTGGGTAAGATAAATCCGAATGTGGAAGAAGAGCTGTGAAAGTAGGGTGCGGGTGATAAAAGATTAAATATATTTGTTGCTTTTC